AAGTATTCTGGCAGACCATCCGCCGACTCCGAGGTGAAAAGACGGGCAGTCTCAGAGTCTTGAAAGACAGGTACGGAAACTCTCTTACCAAGGATGATGACATTGTTCAGCGGTGGAGGGAGTATTCTGAGGAACTCTTTAATTCCAAGCAACTGCAGGAAGAATCGCTTGTAGAACAGCAGGGAACGGACAAAACTATTTATGCAGATGAATTTGCACAAGCTGTAAAAAGCTTGAAAAGTGGAAAGGCTGCTGGAATTGATGAAATCCGCCCGGAAATGTTCTAAGCATTATGTGACCTAATCATGTGCTCGATTATACATGCCTGTGAAACTGCAATGACTACGGTGAAGACGCTACGGGTAAGATACCTGCGGACTAGAGAAAGGAATTGTTGTGCCCGTGTTCAAGAAGGGAGACCATCGGGAATGCCTCAATTATCGGGGCATTACGTTATTAGGCCTCCCGGGTAATGTCTATGCAAAGATCCTTGAAAAGAGGTGCCGTGAAATAAATGACCTCAAGATACAAGAGTAGTGTGGCTTCTGACCCGATCGAGGCACCTCTGATTACATATTTTCTCTGCGGCAAATTGTAGAAAAATTGTGGGAGTTAGCCCATCTGAAGAACATGTGCTTGGTTGACCAAGAGCAAGACGTATTCCATGCAACAGTCTGTGGGCATGGTACGAAGATATGGAATCGATGGCCAGTTGCTCAAGGTCATCCATCACTATATCCTGAGGGCAGCTGCTGTGTCGGAGTAAACGGCGTTATTTCTAGATGTTTCACCGATTGCACTCTTCTTTTCGAAGGCTGGGCTTTGTCCTTACTCTTGTTTATGTATTAAATGGATATAATAGTCTCACACACACACACACACAGCTAAGGCGGTGAATGCATGGTGTAGGAGATATCGAGACGAGACGGTTGCTGTTAGTAGATGACCCTGTTTTGTTGGCATCTTCTGAAGCTCATCTCCAGTGCTCCCTGAAAATGCTCAGACCCGAGTGCGACGTGGCCGGTATACGCGTGAACCTATTTAATGCGATAAGCTAAGAGCATCTTTGATTCTTTGCTTGCTGTCCAGTTCTAATAAACGGGGGAGTGGTAGAACATGAATGAAATTCGCGAACTTGAACTGTTTATTAGAATAGATAATTGGGTGAAGAAATCGACCGCCGAATCTGGATGGTCGCTGAGTTCTGTGGACACTTGACCGAACGCTTGTTAGTGAGGCAGAGCTGAGTCTGAAAACAAAGCTGCCTATAATCAAGTCGATTTTTATCCCAGTTGTCGCTAATTATCATAAGTCATTCACCATGCATTGAAAATTGCAATTTCGGGTACAAGCACCTGCAATAGACTTTCTGAGGCGAGCACCGAACTGACGCCTCTCGAGAAAGTTTGGAGTTGAGGCACCAAAACTGCTTTGGTCTCCACCTGTGGCTTCTCCAAGTTCAGAAGTCGCAGCCTCGATGGATTTGGCCGTTTGGCGAAAATTTCCGAAAGTATCCGAAATGTTGTCGACAGTCGACGTTCCTGCCTCTACGAATCGAAAGGATAAGAGTAATCGCAACTGTGTGACTAATACGGAATTTGCAATCGATGGTAGCAGAGGAGCTGCAAACAGATTAACCTAATTGATTTTCTAAATGGATTATCTGGATAAATC